AATAAGCTGCGCATGAAGAATGTAAACAAACCAAAGCGCATCTAACGGCCGTCTTAGAAAACACGTAGGTCCAACCATCATCATGCGTACACATTTAGAAAAATTGATGTTAATTAAGGTGCTCTGAGACTGACATATACGAGCGTCAATTTTGACATAAAATTGAGTCATAATAGACGTGAAATTCAGCTCACTCGAACGTACTTTCGAACTTTTCAGTCTCGGAGCACTTAATTTTACATGACACACACTTAGAAATAACTAATTTTACATGTGACGGAATCCATCTTTCACATAAAAGATGAGACGTAAGCAAACATGTCATGTAATAATAACTGCTCTGAGACAGAAAAGTTCATTAGTACGTTCGATTGAGCTGAATTTCCCGTCTGTTTTGACTCAATGTTATGTCAAAATTGACGCTCGTTTATGTCAGTCTCAGTGTACCTAAATTTACATGGTTTTTTTTCTAAGTGTGCATGTTTGTTTACGTCTCATACTTTATGTCAAAGATGGATTCCGTCACGTGTAAGATTAAGTATTCATAAGTGTGTAGGTCCAACCACACACTTAGAAAAATTCATGTAAATTTAGGTGCTCTGAGAGTGACATATACGAGCGTCATTTTTGACATAAATTTGAGTCATAACAGACGCGAAATATAGCTCAATCAAACGTACTTTGCGTCGAACAACGAACTTTTCAGTCTCGGAGCACTTAAAATTACATAACATGTTTGTTTACGTCTCATCTTTTATGTCAAAGATGGATTCCGTTACGTGTAAAATTAGTTATTTCTAAGAGTGCATGGTCATATTTATCTATTCGAATTTCGTCAATTATTCAAACATTTTAGTGAAACCAATGGATAAATGGCGTACTAACGTGTTGTTTACATCTTAAAACAGTATTGTACTGCATGAAAAAATGTAAAAAATATTACTTTTTTGTATGTTTGAAAGCAAGCCAGCACACTTAGAAATAACTAATTTTACACGAGACGTAATGCATATTGGACGTAAATCATAGAACGTAAACAAACATTTCATGTAAAATTAAGTGTTCTCAAACCGAAACATCAGCTAGTCGACGAAGAGAACGTTTGATTGAATTGATTTTCACGTTTCTTTCAACTGATTTTTATGTCAAAAGGCCCGCTTACATGTGTCGGTCTCAGGGAACAGAAATTTACATGAATTTTTAGTAGTGTGGGCTAGATGAGCTAATACGTGGAAAATGAACTGTTTTGAAAAACATTGAAACTCAGATAACAGTCGAACTTCAGTCAGAAATTTGAATAAACTTTTATAAAGATAAGTAGTTACAGAGGTGTTTACGTAGCACTAGCATCTCCTGGTTTCCTCTATAAGTTTGCCACTAATGATCAATTTGGTGCAAGTGTCGATAATTTTTCTAAAAAATTCCACTAGGCGCTAACGGCACTTAGTGTCTAGGCCGCCGGCATCACAAAAAGGATTTGAAACATGGGCACTCGGCGTTGGCGGCACTTCTAAGCGACATGTTGTCGATTTTAAGTAAATTTTATCGTAGCTGGGTATTTTTGTTTGTTTCTATTTTAGAATTATTTTGACATTTTTAAGGTAATGATTGACATTTCTAAGACATGTTTAAGGTGATTTTTTCATATTCTGTGTGATGCCATTTTTGGTATTTTTATGGCCGTTCTGGTGGTTTTAAGCCATTTGTGTCATTTTGGTGGTTATGAGCCATATTTGCGTTTTAATTCTATTTAAAATTCATTCGAACTCTCATCTTTTTGGTGTTCTTGTGAATATTCCACTAACATCTCAATTTATAGCTTTCATTAGGACGGCTACCAAGCCTTGAGGATTTTCACTGTTAACCCTTCTGTACCTCTAAAATAAAGCAAAGTTCATTGCGAAAACGCTTCACAACGGGTATTAAATAAAATTCGAATTATGTCAACCGCAAAAGACTTCAGCATGTAAAAATGCAAGAGAATTTTTTTTTTGATGAATAATCAGGATTGCAAAAATTTCCTGAGATCAAATTAATTCCAAGATACAGATAAATCACAGACAAACAGACATAACACTCGCAAGTTGTTCATGGAACAAGCATTTAACGGTCAATTTAAAAGTATCGTAGTTGGTAGTACCACCACCTGTGGCGCGCATAGTCAATTCCCTTGCGTTTGACGTTTACACACTACCGCCATCTGTTCAGCGTACTACCCACCACAGTGTACTCAACAGATGCCGGTTATGTTTTAGCGACGATGTTTTATACCCTGTTCACATTACAGCCTATATCACGTAATATATGCATTCTTGCAATGAGCACTCATACATAGGATTTCCAGTGAAAACTAGATGTATGAGTGCTCATTACAAGACAGCGTATATCACGTGATGTGAACGGGGTATTACGGTGAGAAATATTCAATGTCTGTTTGTCTGTGGACAAACGGTTAGATGTTTAGATTTTTCTTCTTAACTTGAACCTTGGGTTATTTGTTGGGTTGGTTTCAATTCTGCACGTTGTAGTTTATTTTTATACACTAATAAAATTCCACACATTTTTATTGACGAATTTCCATGTAAAATTCCATATGATTTTCATGTGACCACACATAAACAGAATCCACCCAAAAGCACACATGAAATTTATGAGTCAAATGAATAGTATGTGTGGTTACACACGGCTTTTATGTGTACACATATTAAGCATGTGTCCGACACATAGACATCATTTATTGATCACATTGCAAAAATTCATAATAACAATCTTTGAAATTTTATCAGTGTACCTAATCTGTACATGATAATTGTTTATCTTGGGGATGAGTACTTAAGAGAGTTAGATTTCAATTGGTATTTACTGGCAATGACACTGATGAAGACTGTATATCGAGTTGAAATACGTATCTCAAACTGAATATTGCATTAGGTCCTAAGAAACATTTATCGATTCTATTCGTTGACTTTCTCTTTCGTTAATAAATTGAGCACGTAACCGTTTCTTGTTGTGTTTATCGTATTAGATGCTATAGATAAAAGCTTCTTTTATCGATCCGTGTGCTGAAAATACCTGGGCTTTATATGGCCGTGGGGATACAAAGAGAAAGTCGACGAAGAGAATCTGTCAATGTTACTTAGGACCTAATTGAGGGGGATGACTCTATCTACGATGCAAAAAAGATTATGTTTTGCTGTGGCTAGCTGCGCGCACGCTGAGTAGATCGAAAGAAGATTGATGACGATTCTGAAGATCTGCAAAAAGATGATGAACGATGCAAGTAGATGCGACAAATGAAAGAAGATTTTTCGAAGATTGATTCGCTAGTGTGAGATTTGTTGAGCATCTAAACTTGAGATTTAGATGTGTCGCCCCCTCGGACCTAATGCAATGTTCAACTTGATCTGTCATGTATACTAAGTGGATTTATATGGAAAATAATCGAGCAAAATGTTACACTCTATTCTGTTTTCAATTTTCGAGTCCGACCTCCCTCTTGCATGGTTTTTACAGCATTTTTAATACCACCATAGATTTAATTGATTTTTATTTGTGGTATTTAGAAACAACTTGCATTAAATTTGGTTGCAATTTGAGATCACACGATCAAACATAGAGGCGTAAAAAATCGCATATACACAGAATTGAGTGTATTCCACTAACAGTGGAAACCATAACTTAACTGTCATTTTGAATTTTATTGCTATTTTGCCGTTTATCAGCCATTTTGGAATATGCCCTTTTTAATAATTTCATGCCTATTTTGTCGATACTCAGTCATTTTGGCGTAGCTGAACCATCCCTCTCCAACGGGGAAGTTTGCTCAAGAGAGATGATCAAACTGATTTGAACCTTCATAAAAGATGTCCTTGCTCGCTTTCTACTCTCTATATACAACAATTTTCACATTGCCATACTCTAACGGAACTATCAACTCTCGATAGAGCTGGAATTAGGGCGTAACAGATTTTGTAAACAATGACTTCTCTTGATGATTTCTCGAAAGTCATGACTCTCCCTGGCAAACCGATATCACTATCGAGTAGGGGAAGACTTCTCCTACCCGATGGCTATGTTGGTTTGTGTAGGCGTACCTTGAGTTCATAGAAATCAACGAGAGAAGTCATTGTTTACAAAAGCTGTTACGCCCTAATTCCAGCTCTATCTAGAACTCTATACTTTCATCATCTCACCTATCGTATAAAAATACCACTTTAGTCTGTTATTTAAAATTAGCATCTTCAACTATGTGAATCGATGACTTCACGCAGAAGTAATACAAAACAAATAGTTAAAGGTATTTTGTAGTTCTTAAGTCTAGGTTTTTGTATCCTGATGAATGTGGGCGTCTTATGGTGGTAAGCTCCAACCCGTATTATAATCGGATTAAATCCCGATCAAGAATGTCCGGCTGGTTTGATGTCGACATCAGAGTTAATCAACGTAACTCTGAGCAAACATTTTTCAGATCATACAAACAGGAAGGGTATTAAAAGTTAATCCGAGTTGGAGCTCACCGCCATTAGTGGAATACCTGTATAAAGGGAGAGAGAATAATTAGTAATTTCCATTTAATTCCACTAACTTATTTGCTTATCCTTGACAGATACGCGTATTTCGTCTACAATGTGCAGACTTCTTCAGTGTCAAGTATTAGTACAAGACACTGAAGAAGTCTGTACATTATAGACAAAATACGCGTATCTGTCAAAGATAAGCAAGTAAGGTAGTAGAATTAAATTGAAATTAATAATCCTTCTCTCTCTCTTTATATTGGTTTTTGTAGCCTTTTTGGTTTTTCTAATGTGATTTTGCCGTTTTCAAAGGGGGTTTCGTTACTGTTGTATCAAATTCCGAATGAATTTTATAAAAATAAAAATAAAAGTGGTACAAGTAGACGCATAAGCAAATTCTTTATCGAAGATATCACGCTGCTTATCTAGAGCTTGGGGCAGTGTTAGGAAAACGCATTATTTTCTAAACATTCCTATCCCTTTTAGAACAAAATCCGTCGCGTCCACGTTGCAGCCCGAGAGGGTAGCCTGCGTGATCTCCAATCGGCGCTGGATCGCCGAAAGTTTGCCACGGCTAAGGATTCCATTTCACCCCACGGTGCAACGCCTCTGCATGTGGCCACCATCTTCGGGCATTCAGGTAAAAGTTCAATCTAATCACTTTGTTTGTCGTTCTTGCTTTTTTTTGTAAGGTCTGTAAGTCATCAGTTTCCTGGAAATATTAATTTGTTTACTCTCAATCACGACGACGATGATGGAATGGAAAAATCACCTTCCCTTGACGTATGGGAAATTATGTTTACCCCGTCAGATGTGTACGGTAATTTTATAATAGAGGCAGAGCAAAGAACAGCTATTATTATACTTGAAAATGTGCCACGGCTGTGGACCATGGTATGATGGCGTTTTACTGTATATGGTAGCACACGCCTACGCCGGGTGTCTATATCTGTCAGTGTAAAGTTATCAAGGACGTCCGTCCGTCCGTCGATGGCCATTACTGTTTAATGAACACACACAGGGCTTCCTGGCATGTGGGACAAACCAGACGAGTTATGAGTAATACTTTTGTGTGCCATCATAACCTTTTTTTCCTTGGAAACCCACACTATCTTGGTGGATTACATGCACAGGACTCAAATGCTATCTGCCCTAGTTATACCGTTTTAATATCTCTCAGCGTGTGATAGAAGAAGGTTGTTAGAGATGAGCCTGGCGCAGTTGGGAGTAGAGGATATTAATAGTACTTAGATTACCGCAATCTCGCAAAAATAAGCGATAATTAAAAGTTAATTGAAAATAATTTCAGGTATCGTTCGGTACTTGGCGGGCCGTTTTCCAGAAACTACCAGTGCCACAGATCATAATGGTCGCACCCCACTGCACTACGCCGCAACTTTGAAGGACAACGGACATTTCTATAAGCTCCTGGCCCATCTGGGAGCGAACCCAAAGGCTGAGGATAATGTAAGTACCCCCATATGGACACGACTTTTGCACGATACATTATTAAAAATCACTTTGTACGATGTGTGCCAGCAATTCAGCGCTGTGTGTAGGTGGGAGAAGGTTTGCGTTGAGTTGCCCTAGTGGGAAGTTTTGAATCAGTATTGAAGCATTGCTTTGCAATTTACCTTCTACTTTTCATATTGTCTTTTGAACATTGAGCTAGTTTAAGGTATTATTATAGTGCAAAGTTTGAAAACGCTTCTGAAAAAATCCTGGGCACGCTTTTTTAGTGGGTTCATCACAAAGCCGAGCAAATTTGCCCTGTTCCCTAGGTTGTATATTGAAGTATTATTTATTCATGAGTGTGCTGCAACAGTTATTGATTTGCGGCCTTTGCGATGTCACTGTATTGCGGGCATTGGTTTATTCATGTAACATACGTGAAGAGTGATTGCAAATGCAACCAAGGACGAAGAGTAGAGCGTGACGTGCACTGTTATATGCTTTTTTCGTTACATGAAACGACATTCCCATCCGAACAGTCAAACCATCCGGCCGAGTTCTATCTGGATCACGAGCAAACCAAGGATCTGCTTTCTCATCGTCAACTGCTGCAGGACTACGGAGCAGAGGAAGATCTGGCTGACTCTATGCTCAACGATCAAGGTAGGTACGACTACGGTCTCAGTCTTAACTACAAAGCGCGTGCGAATCCTGAATTGCTAGATGTTGTCCATTCGTTACAACCATTTTTTTTTTGTCACGCGGATCCGGCTAGAATTGTTTTTCTCCATTTGGCACTCGCATAAATCCGAACCGAGGGATTTTTTGCTTTTTGAAAAGTGTTCCTTTCTAGAGAAAATTCAGATGGATGAAACTACAACTTGGCTTCCACCGACACTAAACTAAAGCGTTCAGATTGTTTTCAACGACTTTTACTCATCATTTGTCATGTTTATTCTCATTCCCCGCTTTACGCTCATACATTGTCGGGTACGTGGATTGTAACACCGGGATGTAGTGCCCGACGATCAGCACAGTGCTCGTCGCGAGTTGGATGACGTTGATACGTTAACTACACTGGAGCGATGTTTCAAAATCATCCACGAACCGGTTGATGAACTGATGAAATCCGTTTCGCTTCCGGTGAATAGTGTCCCCGGTAGTGCATCGTCATTGAGGATTCTCATCACCTCGTACTTGGCAAGATTTATGAAGCGAAGTGTATTCGACAAAATAAAGAAGCGCCAAACCAAACTGGATCACAACCTGTTTGATGTGATTTGGCCCGCAATGAAGAAGGCCACCAAGGAGAAGAAAATCGACGAAGATCTTAACGTTGGAATCGTGATCCCGGACTACGATGTGTTTGTCGTCTTTCAAGAGTTCCTAGTACCGCTTATCAAGGACATGCATTGCATGGAACTGCAACAAGACTTCGTTCCGCATCCCCAGATGCAGTTCTTTCCACGATACGTTGTTGAGGACACTGGCAATCAGCACGGGGAAAGCAACGGAAACGTACTTCGTGAGAATCCCAGTGAAGTGCACTTGAATCTGGATACTTCCGGAAAATTTATTACCGGAGTAGTTATCGAGTGCACCCGAAATCTAGACGAATACGATTTTCCGTTAAACCACAGCATAGCTCAGCTGGAAAAAGTAGAGCGAATACTTACGTCTAAGATTCTTTCGATGGCATTTGCCAAAGCTATCGAGGATGAGGAGCTTGGAACTTACTACACAATGAATGAAATCCTGGAGAATCCCTCCGAAATTCGAACTATCCTCGCCTCTTCCGGGCTATTGATACCCATGTTAGATTACACGGACCCATACCAAACGGCTGAATCGACCGCTCTCAATGGAAAATATTGGCCTTACGGTCGTGGAGTCTACGTAAACCAAAGGCAAGATCTGGTAGCTTGGATCAACGCCCAAGAACACTTACGAATACTGTGCTGCACGAGCTCGAAGAATCCAGCCGACATTGGCAGTGCATACTCCAAGATAGGGCGTGCCATGAATTTCCTTGAAGGCAAGATCCAGTTCAAGCACAGCTACTTCCTCGGTTATCTCGTCTCCCGACCGTCTTTCCTTGGAACCGGTCTCAAAATAACCCTATTCCTTGAACTGCCTCATCTGCGCAAAGAACGTGAAAACCTGCGGCATCTGTGCGTAGTCCGAGGACTTCACTTACTCACCTCCGACGAAAACTCCACGGTCCGCATGAGCAATATGCGCTCCCTTTCGCAAACCGAATGGCAAATCTTCCAGGACTATACCGGTGCCATTACGAACATTGTCGCTCTGGAGAAGGAACTCTCGATGTCCAACTCGTTGCACATTGCGGCCACGCTGTTGAAGATATTTCGTAAGAAAAAGAATAGTTTGGTGGAAGCGGCGCCAACTCACTAGGCGACACCTACGCCGCAGAACACCGCACTCCGTTCATTGTTCGTCTTCATCACCACTCTTAGAGACGTAGCTTCAGCAACTAACAAACTCTCTTATTCGATGTTAAGGATTAACCGATAGTGTGTAACCAATTATGTGCTACAAAAGTTCCTGAAATTTCCATATATTCTAACTATTCGTAACAATTTAACGCTAATCAAGTACCACTTAGAGAAAACATTAGAGCTGAGCCAAGACCGTAGCCGTATGCGAGGGAAAGAGTACAAAGTGTTGGAAAGATTTTGACTGGACTTGGAGCGGGTTAGTAGTGCTTTAATTTTAACTCACCATACATTTTATCCTCTCGGTGTTTCCAGTGTGATATTTTTCTTATTCTTATCCAATATAAATATGCCTGAACAATCAAACAACCTCTGTGCTTGATGTATCATTTGACAGAACCGCATCAATGTTTGAGATTGAGAAGTACGCTCTCGTGATGACCGTGTTGACGACACTTGTTACTAATTTTCTAACCTATACATACAACATCAACATACGAAAAACGATTATAAATTTTTCCACCTGTGAAATCTTTCCAACAGCTTGTATGTTCATCAGTAGCTTTTATAGTAGGAACTGTTAGCGTTCACATTTACTTTAGTTTATAGTGATTGTCAGTTTTCTGTTCTATATATTATCTTGAGTTGCATTGTCTTTCGACTGCGCTACATCTGTTGCATGCATTATTCAATGGTAAAGATTACTCGTTTATTCGATATGGATCGGTTGAACTTATAAAGCTAACGTGATCTTCTGTGTCATTTGCTGTAATATTTTTTTCCAGAGCTGAACGATCCACAAGTAGAGATTCCCTTATTTCGCACGGAGGAAGGTCGATATCTGGCGACATGTAAGTATGTGCAGTACAATTTCAATAAACATTATGGTGGTGGTACAATATGGTTACCTGGGACCAGCCTGGGAGATTGATTGAAGATTAATTATGCAAACCATCCTCGGGTTCGTTGCCCAGCCGTTGAAGTCTTTTTCGAAAATCAAGCGGACGCATGGTACATGACATACAACAAGCTAATCTCACTTAATACTGGATAACGTCACGACGATACAAATACCTATTTAACTGCACGGTCAATCAGAACGACTCAGCGACTGATTCCAATTGATTCATAGCATTTTCTTTCCATACGAAATTTACTCATATTTGGGAAGGGCAGTAAAGCCGTTGTTCTCCGGTCCATTAGTTGATGGGTTGATAGGTAGGGTCCAGGTGTGAGAGCTGCCCCCTGGCGTCGGTAGCATTGGTACTCAGTACGGAAAAGATCGACGGAAACAAATAGAAAAAAAAGATGGTGTCTTCCAGTATTGTGGCTTTCAAGAAAAATATACACTGTAAAAAAATATTTAATTTATAAAAAAAAAAATCAAAATTATCAAACAAAATTGTAATAACTCAAATTACATAGGGGAATTTACGTATTCTCGGCAACCTAAGCAGCGACCTTCTTTCTATAGCCTTTTTCTCTATGGAACGCACACATATGCAGTATTGGTTTGTTTACAATCTTTTGCTGCCAGCTGCTCTAAAAATTTCAGTCGAAAGAATTGTCAAAAACTGTTTTGAAACGCTTTTACAAAGCTCCAATCTTCTCTAGTGAGAGCGAGTATTGTCGGCAACCAGTTTTTCTTCGGCAACCGTTCCATTTGAACTGCATGTAAATCTGCTGTTCTATTATCGGCAACTCGAAATCTGCTACCATTTGTAGTGCGTGTGTTTCATTTCAAGAAAAACTTGCTTTTTCTCAGTGGTAAAAATATAGTCAAATTGAAGCTGAAAGCATAAAGAATCGTTTGCATGCATTCAGCGAAGTGTTTTCGTAAGAAAATCCAGTGAAAATAGTGTTTCAATTTGGGTTGCCGAAAATAGTCTGGCATGCCGAAGCCGTCATTTACCCTATTAAAAAAAAAATGTATTTATATTTTAGTTTAGATAAAATTCTACCTACTGACAATGTGTATTTGCTGGACAATTAATAAAAAAAATTTTATGAATTATTGAAAAAAGTAGTATTATCCAAAATGCTACCTACAGTTATCGAATATCTTTTAAATATTGTTGAATTTACAACAAAAAAAGCATACTCTGCTGTGATGTATACATTCATTCACGTAAACCTGTATTTCATTTTACGCAAACGAACAGCTTGTAAGCAATGTTGTTTTCAAAGATGGACAATTGTATACAATATTTGCAACATTTCATGAAATTTCTCAGAGTTTCACATGAATTATAATGTAAATTTATATGTTATGTGACACTTCATTTATGTGCATCATATTGAACAGAAACATGCACCACTTTTTCAGCCTCCGAAAATTTGAACTTGTTTGGTAAGAAACTGACTCTGCAAAACCATTTGAAGTTTGTATGGGAATTACTATGAGAAAGCACCATATTTACCTACACACAAAAATTTATATCTTTGTTTGTATGACATTTTTTCAGTCACAACTTAGCTGAAGACCGCTTTTCTATTAAATTTATGGAACCAAAATTATTCATAAAATTCTAGGCTCACTGTGCAATGATCTATGCAATGACTTTAAAACAGCTCGGAAAGCACATGCCGTGGACCTCCGTTAATCTGAACGACACTTCGTTCATATTAACGGGGTTCATTTTTAATTTAAACTTCTATTTAGTAATTCTATGATCATTAGAAAAGCGAGTTTCTGGTAAACTTATTTGTTGTTTTGTTTTGATTCTGCTTTTCGTTTAAGATCGTTCCATTTCACTTTACTCCATTCCATGTGCTTAATGACGTTTGAACAACTTTTAGTTTGCACGGCGTGCAGATTAGCGAGGTTCAAACTTAAAGGTGTTCAGATTAAACACGGTCAGATTACCGGGGGTCCACGGTATATCATTTTTTTGACGTAGAACTACGTCTTTGTCGACTATACTGGGGTGCAATCAAAAAATATGTGTGGTGAAATAGTGTTAGGTTTTGAACACTTGTAACTTTTTCATTTATAAATGAAATTTGCAGCAAAAAAAAAAAAAAAAAATTAAATCCAAATACGTCAATCGGTAGGATATGAAATAAACGTTTTTCCCAAACCCAATCGTCATAATCGAGTACCACTTGGTTGCACATCTTTCTGCTTGAACCTGAAAAGATATAAAACAGCGCTGCTGTCGTGCCTCTGCTCATTACCGCTTCGGAAGGTGTGGTACCATAGAGGTAACTCTAAGACCAGAAGGTCCCGAAGAAACGTGCTCAACTTTTTGGCTCAGCTCTGGTACTATCTTCGGTCCCAAGCTAATCTATGCACCCCTTGAAACACATGAAAATCCACGAACCCCCCATTTTATCTGTCAAACTTTCATAGCTTCTCAAAACAAACATAGGGTAGTACCCAACTAACAATTTTAGCTGCAGACTAGCGTATACAGCCGAAAATTGCCTTATGCAGCTAATTTTTGTCTGTATAAGCTGATCTGCAACTAAAATTGTTTGTTGGGTAATAGAATTTCGACTAGAATGGGGTACGCTTATAGATGTACTTGGCAGTGATGGAATTCTCACCAAAATATCATTTTCGCTTGCGATACGTTTTCTCTTGGGAACTTTCCCTCACTAGTTTCACACTCCAATATTTCCTGAGCGAACTTTCTGGGATGAGAGAATGAGATATCGCGAACTTTTTTAACTCGAATCACCAACGTGAGGATACGAAAAATATCAGATCATTTTCTCTCTCTATCTCTTTACACCACATTCGTTCTTGAAAATTGCAGTGCACATTTCACAAGGGAAAGATTATAGACAGAAAGCTATCCCGAGTAAATCAATACAATCTCTAAAGACTGATAAGTCTGGTACCTGGCTGTCTACTGGCGCCTGTTGTTTAAAGTAGCCGTTATCAGGATGATGTGAACAGTTTTGTGCAACTGATTGATTGGTGCATTGGTTTCTGGCAAAAAAATGAATGAAGCAGTACAAGCGTCAACGTTAACGAGGAACGGGGAGGGTAGTGTAAGATTTTGTGACTAGCAATTTTTATATTAAAACCGGGGGTTGCGGAAGGAGGAGCGCCTAATGTATCCTCATTTTCACGAAATACAGTTAATGCATGGCTCCTCTCATCACTAGTGTTCGTATTATCGTTCCTGTAAGCTCTTATGCAATAATTATATGCAGGGGGATGGTTGGGAATATAGGTGGTGGTGAACTTTTTCACTGTGCTATTACCAGTGCTGTAAATTCTCAAAATCATTTGAACATTTTTGATGAAAATGAGAAAAGTAGCTATTCGCTATCAAAGGGGACCTCCTCCGAATGGGTGATATCAGTTGCTTAGTCATTTGACGAAGGCATGGATCATTCTCATTTGAGAAACGCTATATATCATTCGATTGAGTGTAACCTACACACAAACGGAGCTCTGGTCGACATTCCGGCGAAAAAGCTAAGCCAACCCGACACCAACCTGACTTCTATCAAACCCCAACCCGATGTTGACCCGACATAAACCCAAAATTGACCTGACATTAACACGACATTGGGTCGACATCGACCTTAAATTAGCCTTACATTGATCCGACATCGGGTCGACTTGTCTGTTCGGGACCATTTTCCTGGATTTCTTCCATACTCCACTGTCGTATATCAAATGCTACTGAGTGACTCAATTGACAGTGACAATGAGCTTCGAATGAGAAAGGGGCTCTTCAAATTATGGTCATGTGAGAATTCGTTTACACAGAATTGATTGAATGGTTGTAGTGGTTCATCTTCAATCGAATGATATGAAAATTTACAGCACTGAGTAAGACTAATCAACAGAATGCTTGCTAGCTAACACTAAACATTTCTAAGCGCCAATCTCAGTGGTCTAACTGTACTTCGCACTAATAGCATAGTTCTTCTTGTCGAAGAGTACAGCCACAAATGATGATTTGGTCAGCAAAGATTAGACTATTGGTGAATAGTTACAAGTATCTACTATTAGCTGGTTGCATTGAGAACTAAAACTATAAATAAATCCGGAAAACTTTGAGATTAGGGCGTAATTTCTTTTGTAAACACACACTTAATTCGCCGATTTCTCGTGAATTAAAGTTCAATCTAAAAAACTAACAACACAGACAGGAAGAGGAATGATTCATTTGGTATAGTATAGTTTGCTAGATTGTGCTTTGATTCGTGAGAAATCGCTGAATGAGGTGTTTGTTTACAAAAGCAATTACGCCCAAATCTCAATGTTATCTGGAAATGGTATTTAATGTGAAGGATGCGAAAAATATCGGAGAACGAGAAGTAAACAAACAGACACTCTCGCGTGATCATCGCCTACCTTTACTCGCTGGAAACAAAAAAGAACAAAGCTGAGGGGATATTTGGTTGGTTCGAATCACGAGTACGTGTGAAATGATGTGAGATGGAGAGACGAAAGATCTTTCGCGATACGAAATGAAAATTTCTCCCGCTCTACGCTTTCATGAACTTTTTATCATCTCTCGTTCGCGAACTTTTTGTGAGAAGTTCTTTTGGGATTTATCTCTGCAATGAGCTGTGATAGAACTTTTTTTGAAAATGATTTTTCCAACACTGGTACTTGGGATAGGCTAGTCAAGTAGTGAGCCAATTCAAAATCGTTATTTTTCACCGGTTGGGACACTGGGCCCTGCAGTAAGCAGAAGCAAGTCAGCGGTTAAAGGTGAATCACAGCACCTTGACAACCAGCAATGGGGTGGAAGGAGACTAGAGTCCCGTTCAACTAAGGGGCTGTTCATTAACCCTCGGGCAGGGTCCAACAAGAATCAAAGAGGAATAAGAGTCAAACAAGGTAGATAATGTACAGGTATATTGAGCACTGAAAAGTGTT